GGGGGGGAGGGTCCTAAAGATATTAAGGATTCTGAGGTTAACCTCCACATTCTCAGACTTCATCTCCTCTAGTGAATGGGGTTTGGTTGCTGCGTGTGTTCTGAGTACAAGGCCTTCCTACCTCACATACCTAGGACATCCCCAGTCCGCAGAGTAAACGTAGTCCTGTACTGACAGCTAACCCTCTTGGCTTCTGCTCCCTGCAAGCATAGCTTTAATATATTTCAGGCTACCATTAGCAAAGTCACTCTGTGGCTGCTCAACAGCTGTTGTGGAGAAGATTTAGCATCAGTTAATACTGTGTCAAACTCCTTCCTGGGTTGTCACATGTAAGGCGGGGGGGGGGGGGGGGGGAGGGGGCGGGGTGGCATGCTGTTAAAGACAGCACTTTCATAACCACAATCCTTGTACCCCCTACCTTGACAAGGGAGGCACCAAGGAACCCAAAATGTGGCTTCTGCAGGACCCCTGGGGGAAGAGAGGAGCATACTAGAAGGACCTGCCTGCCGAGTTTTCCACGCTTATGAGTGGAAGAGATGATTCTGGCTAGTGCATGGATTTCTACCAGTTCGGCGTGGTACAGTATATTCTGTGTAGATAAATACTTACCAGACCTGCTAGTGCCACGAGTGAAGTCTGAACCTGGGTCATGTTCCCATTCTCAAAAAGATCATTTGCTTCAAAAATATCATGTGGCTTCATACCATAGATTTGGATGGCTTTGATAAAATTCCCAATGTTCTCCAACTGAAAAATAAAACACGTCAAGGCAAATGTTTCATTTTGGAAAATATTTATAGCTTCAAAATTACAGTAGGAACAAGCTCCCTGTCTTGAAGAGTTTAGCCAAGATGTAATACAGATGGGACACAACATAGAGCAAAGTAAATGAGTGGTAAAGCTTAGCATAACACTCATTCGTTCTGCATTTGGATTTTTTGTTTTGCACATAGAACTGCTATTCCCGATCTAGTCTGGCCGCTGTCTCCAACAGTGGCTAGTGCCTGACATCCCTAGCAGATGTCTTTAACAAGGCACTACACAGCATCTATCTGCTTTCCCCAGAGATGTTCTAGTTTAAATCAGTGGTTCTCAACCAGGGATATGCATATCTCTTGGGGTACGCTGAAGTCTTCCAGGGGGTTCATCAACTCATCTAGATATTTGCCTAGTTTTAGGACAAGCGACATACAAAGTAATAGCAAAGTCATTACAAACTTCCATACAATGATTTGTTTATACTGCTCTATATACTATACACCGAATTGTAAGTACAATATTTATATTCCAGTTGATTTATTTTATAATTGTATGGTAAAAATGAGAAAGCAAGCAATTTTTTCAGCAATAGGTTTTCTATGACACTTGTATTTCTATGTATGATTTTGTAAGCAAGGTGAAACTTGTGGTACGCAAGACAATTCAGACTCATGAAAGGGGTACAGTAGTCTGGAAAAGTTGAGAGCCACTGGTTTAAATATGCTCCCCCCCGGTCAAATTTCTGTGCCAGTAATCTAGTTCCATTGAGTTATGTTATAAAATACCTCTTTGAAGGAAGAACTACAATCTGTAGAAATAGAATATGGGATTTGTTTCAGACAGCACTTAATGTCCAACCTAACTTAAACTGGTCCATTAATAACCTGTCAAACGTGAAATTCCAGTTTTTACTGTGCACCTTACTGTTGACTCACTGAGACATATTCAACCCAACTTCAGGTATTATTTATTAGTAGTTTTTGGGCAGTGCCTATAGGTCCCAGTCAGGACTAAATTTGGCCTTTTCTTTCAGAGGCATGACAGAAGAACTATTCTTAAGGCTGTTTAGTTTAGACTAGTCCTAGACCATTTACAAGGGACTACCAAGCATAACATGTTTTGTGTATTAGACAGACCAATCCCTATGTATAAAAACAAATTTGTAGCCTAATTTTAATTTTAATCTGGATATCAGAGATACAATTACTGCTTGTGCATTTTGCCATTTTAATTTTTTTTTTTTGGAGTTATATACCAATATTTCATCCAACACTGCTAAAAAAAAGTGTAATGAAAGGATTTCAGTGGTATTTATTCCTATTTTGCAGAACGACATTTCATGCAATAACCTTGAACAGTATGGCATACAGGGCTATTAACTTCATATGGCATAGACTGTGGTATCTAGCAGCTTTGGCTGGTGAAAAGTTCCAGTTAAAGTTTAACTAAGACAGACATTTTAAAAAAGTCTTTCCTCCAAAGGAAGTAATCTTACTATATGTCTCATTTGTCTACCACCTGAAATTTCTGCTAGTAATTAAAGCTGCTATTGAACATTTGTACTTAAGTAGCATTTAGAGGACAACCCAGTCTACCCATTTGCTTAAGACTTCATACACATAGTTAATCAACCACTGGAAAGTTTTAAGTAAAGAGGCAGTAATATCGCATTCACATCAGTTCTGGAAACAAAGGAGGTAGGATTTTTTTTTTACCTGATGCCAATTTAGTTCTGATTGATTGATTTTCTTCACTGATCCTGGCTGTAGTTTGTTTATAAGTCTGGGGAAAAATTAATTAAATGTGTAAATAGTGAATCTCATTTTCACACTATTTGTACAGGCATTATGTAAAAGTCTTTATTGTCATGCTACCGTAGACATAGTGACTTGATGCAAAACATGACTCGTCATGGTTAAATGATTTAGATTTATGTAAAGGGCCTATCTTAGGCTCGAGGACATCTGCCAAGTCTCTTAATTCATACACAAATCCATAAAAATGTGCCAGTTTCATACTGTAGTATCATATCTCTGATACATTTTGTTGAAATGTCGGTGATCTGGGTTCAATTTTTAGTCTTTCTTGAGCCCAGGGAAGGGAAAGCAGACATGGAAGCAGTCTCTTATTTGGTAGCAACTGTATTCTGATTATTGAGAACTGTGATATATTCAAAAGGAAGTCCTTAGCTAGTGCTCTCTAGAACCTGGAAAGAGCAAAACTACCTAAAATAAAAAGAAAATTTGCTTCTTACTCGCATAGGATTATGCCATCCTTTAAGCCCAACTGAAAGTTTACACCAACGCTCATCCCTGTAACCTCTTCTATCCAGTTGCGTAGATCTTCTTCTGCCTGTGGATCATATTTCAGGGCAATCTGTAATACAAATTAGTTACTTAAAGAGAGGTCATTGTGCTCTCTCCTGAAATATTTTAGTCCAAATGTAAAGCTAATTTGTATAATAGGATATTCTATAACATTTCTCAGACATACCAGTATTCTGATAATTTCCCAATGCAGTAGAAATTGGTTAGTCAAGCTCTACAATAGCAGCAAGTGAAATAGCAACATATCAATAAATGTTCTCATCTTATGAGAACAAGGGTTTTTGGATCCTGCAGCATGATTGTGGTATTAAGAAGAGCTGGAACTAAGGGTGCGGGTGGGTAGTGCAGCACTCCCTGATTTGAAGTGGTTTCCATTATATACAGGATTTACAGTTTAGTTCAATGGCTCATAGCACCCCCCACTATAAAAATTGTTCCAGCGCCCTTGGAGATATTGTTCAGATAATGAATTAGACACCTCTGGCCATTATACAAAGTGTCTTATAGATAACCAAGAAAGGATTAAGTTGGGTTTATGCCCTTTCCTGACTCTCTATGATTTGTGAAGACTGTAGAATTGCTGCCTCCTCCCCACCACATCAAAAAAGTTATCTTGCTCGTCTTTTACCTTAAATATCAGGAACAAGAAGCCTGGCTTGCTTGAGGATTGTCTAGATGCCTAAGAAGGTATGAATTGTAAGACCTCATAATTCAACTAAAGGGTCAGCATGCTGATTCATACTTCTAAGAATAACACAAGCTTCCTCCCTCTGAAGTTAAGGAGGTCTTAACAAAAACAAGGTTTTAAATGGTCCAACTAAATATCCTCCTGACCCTTTCAAATGCAGTACTCATATTTCACTCTGACATATAAAGTCATCATTTTATTTGTTCTCTAGTAACCAGGGGCCTTCAGTACAGGCAGAACCCGAATTTCTATTACTAAAAACAATTAGTTAAAACTATCACATGAAAGGCAAAAATCCAATTGTTTTCCTTTGCAGGTCACACTGAAGATCAGTTAAACATTCCTTCTATCTACACCAATAATTCCTTCAGTACTACTAAGGTTCTGCTACACTAGAAAGGGTTTAACCCTCCTACTGGGGACACTGCTTATACAGGCAAAAGAGTTCTTTTGTCAGTATAGTTTATACCAGTTCCCCAAACAAAGCAAAGCTATCTATACTGTCAAGAGAACTTTTTTGCCATGCTCTAGTGCAAATGTACTACTTATCACAGTTACATCATTTAGGAGATTTTTTTTTTTTTAATTTCTAACCAAGATAACTATGCCAGCTAAACTGTCGGTATAGATCACGCTTAAGAGTGACAGCTTTCATGATCATACATAATAAATTACAGTAACCAAGGATTTGGAGCAATCAAATTTTTGAATTGCTCCGCTCCAGCTCCGGGCTCTGCTCCAAAGCCCTGACAGTAATTCCTCACTTAAAGTCGTCCCGGTTAATGTTGTTTCGTTGTTATGTTGCTGATCAATTAAGGAACATGCTCGTTTAAAGTTGTGTAATGCTCCCTTTTAATGTCGTTTGGGCAGCCGCCTGCTTTGTCCACTGCTTGCAGGAAGAGCAGCCCGTTGCAGCTAGCTGGTGGGGGCTTGGAACCAGGGTGGACCCGCAGCCCCCCCATCAGCTCCCTGTGCTGCAGCCGCCCAGCAGGCTATCAACTGCCGCCGTTCAGCTGTCCTTCCCCCCACTGCCATGTGGTGCTCCTGCCTTCTGCCTTGGAGCTGCTCCCAGAGACTCCCGCTTGCTGTGCAGGGGGGGGGAAGGGGAGGGCTAATGTCAGGGTGTCCCCCTCCCCCCTGCTTCTGCACCCCGCTTACCCCTTCTCCATATAGAGCAGGGAGGGGACACATACAGAGAGAGCTTGGGGCAGCAGCTGCTGTCTCAACTTCCTGATCCACTTAAAAAGACAATGACTTAAGAGTGGGTCAGCTTACTTAAAGGGGCAGTGTGCATCTCTCTCTCTCCCCGACACACACCTTGTGTGTCTGTCTCTGTCTGTTATGCTGTCTCCCCTCCTTCCTGTTCGTGCTGCCTTGATGGGAGGCTATATTAACAACGTTAACCCTTGAGGGTTAACTAGCCGAGTGCTAGTTCATCATTTAGCAGCAAAGCATTCCCTGGGAAATATCCCTCCCTCTTCCACCCTCTAACTTCACCACATCAACTAAGCTTCACAATCATCATAGCTGTGAACTGTATTAAATTGTTTGTTTAAAATGTATACTGTGTGTATATATATATAATATATAGTTTTTGGTCTGGTGAAAAAAATTTCGCTGGAACCTAACCCCCCGTTTACATTAATTCTTATGGGGGAAAATGATTCACTTAACATCGTTTCGCTTAAAGTCACATTTTTCAGGAACATAACTACAGTAACTTCTCGCTTAAAGTTGTAGTTATATTCCTGAAAAATGTGACTAAGTGAAATGCAGGACTCTCTGGGAGCAGCTCCAAGGCAGAGGGCAGGAGCACCACATGGCAATGGGGGGAGGGACAGCTGAACTGCCTTGATAGCCTGCTGGGCAGCTGCAGCACAGGGAACTTAGGGGAGGAGGGAGCTGATACGGGGGTTGCCGGTCCACCCTGGTTCCAAGCCCCCATCAGCTAGCTGCAACGGGCTGCTCTTCCTGCAAGCAGTGGACAAAGCAGGCGGCTGCCAAACGACATTAAAAGGGAGCATTGCACAACTTTAAACGAGCATGTTCCCTAATTGATCAGCAACATAACGAAACAACGTTAACCGAGATGACTTTAAGCGAGGAGTTACTGTACGTTAAGCGAGGAATTACTGTATCATGACAAACCCAACAGTCGAGTGTAGAAAATAAACCCACAATACTTCTGTTTAATGGAAAGGCAATTCATCTAAAGAATACAACCAAACCCCTACTTAACAAGGAAGGCATGCCTAGCAGGTAACACGTGTTTATACTTAAGACTTGTCACATTCACGCCCAGACTGCAGCCCAAAAAAACCTGTGGTCAGAGAGACCAGTGAGCATTTTGAGAAGGCATGGCACTGATCAGAATGATAGACTACCAGGACTAGAAATGAATGACCGTATTTGTTTCTAGCCTTAGCAATCCATAAACATGAACTGGCTAAAACCAAACACATCATTTTGATGTCTAAGGGGAATGGAAAATGACTATATCTTGGCTTTGCTTCAGGAATTTGTCTGAGTTTTGTTTATATATTTCTGAAAGTATTTTTTTTTAATTTTATTGCAATAGTGCGTGGGAGCCCCAGTGCATGCAGAATTCATGTCCTGCACCAATTTATTTGCTTCCCTGCAGAAAAATAACTTCTGACAGGGAAGCCACAAAGCAGTCACATGCCCCTCCCCAGCAGCACAGACATGTTTCTGGCACCCAGAGCAGCTGGTGGAGAGATAAATCAGCATGGGGCAGACCAGGCTCAGCTGCTAGTCCCAGCTTGGATGAGAACAGGACTTCCTCTTCCCCTGCAAGGAGCAGCCAGGGCCAGGTTTGGGTCAGACCCACCCTACAAACTTCTGTACCTGCCCCCCCACACACTTCCTGCCCCTACTGCTCCTCAGCTGTGGGACAGTGGTCACTACGCTAGGAGCTGCTCCTTTGTCTGCCCAACTACCATGTACCTGGACCCCTCCCCCATACTCAAATCCCCCATTGAATCTCCCCCCCAAAACTCCCAGATCCCTCGCTGCACCCAGACCCCCCACCAAGCTGCCCGCACCCAGATTGCGGCACACAGAACCCTCTCACTCCACACCTGGATCCCCTCACAGTAAGCCCCTTTATACTTGGATCCTGCCTGCTCCTCACCTGGATCAGGGCTGGGCATGCATGCGAGTTTCTGTCCCTCTCGCTTGCTATCTTGGTGCACCTAGCAAGGAGGGGCAGGGCTATGGGGTGTTTCTGGGGCAGGCCCAGCCCTTGCGCTGGGTTGCGTGCAGCCTCATTGCTGAGTCCGTATCCCGGGGAGGGGGCTGCAGGATGATCTCCTACCTCCATGCAGCCAATGACTTGTGCTTCCCACTGCCATGCTGGAGCCTCCGCATTTTTTTGACATAAAATATGCAGAATTTTAAAATATTGTGTGCACAATTTTAATTTTTTGGCACAATTTCCTCATGAGTAAGTCCTCTTCACTTTTCTCTCATCTATATTTAGTATAAACTGTCAGGTTTTACTCATCTCATTTTCAGCACAAAATGAAAAGTATACCAGTACAATGAACAACTGTGCAGAATAACTGCTGCTCTTGCAAAAATCTGTGTGTTCCACCTTCTCTCTCATTTAAGAGAAACCAAGAGGAGAGAAATTGACTGGAAATATTTTTTTTTTTACTGGGCAGCGTCAAGTCTGGCTACTTTGTTAGTGTACCGTATTCACTGGATATCAGAGATAAGTCAGAAGATGGTTAAGGATTGTAAGTTTATCCCAAGCAAAACGGTTACACCCCAACACAAACCATTGGTGGTAATAGTTGCAACTGGCAGATGGACACACGTTGAATTATTCTCCAGTGAGTCATGCATTAGATGTGGTGACTGCACAGAGAAGTTTAGGAGACCACTGCAAAATCTGAGCCAACAGGTACACAAATTAGAACAACAGACAAGGAGTGGAGTTTTTTCAAAAATGTATTGATCTGAGAAGCTGAGATCCTAGGTGGATGCACTGGGTAACTTCAGGGTGGTTAACAGCAAATGGAGAAATCAAAGAAATGCAAGCGTCTGCTAAATGCAGGGGAAGTCTGTTGCAACATGAGCAGAGTGATTTATGACACTTTTATGGCCAGATTACTTAAGTGATAACTCCACAAAATCAGAGTGATGCCACATCTGTCTGGATCAGACACAGACGAACAAAGAGAGGCACTTAAGACTAGATGCCATTGAAATGAGATGTTGATGGCACAGAGAGGTGGCACTGCCAGACCACATGCCGAACAATGTCATCAAGAGTGAGACCAAGGTCTGCAATACCAGAGAAGCTATAAGAGAGGAGGCTGAGATGGTATGTGTAGCGG